AGCCGGCGGGCGGCTGCTCCTGCTGCCTGGCGGCGGCGCTGCCGCTGCTGCTGCTGCTGCTGCCCGCCGGGTGCCCGGTGCGGGCGCAGAACGACACGGAGCCCATCGTCCTGGAGGGGAAGTGCCTGGTGGTCTGCGACTCCAGCCCCTCCGCCGACGGCGCCATCACCTCCTCCCTGGGGATCTCGGTGCGCTCGGGCAGCGCCAAGGTGGCCTTCTCGGCCACCCGCAGCACCAACCACGAGCCCTCCGAGATGAGCAACCGCACCATGACCATCTACTTCGACCAGGTCAGGCGCCGCCTGCTTCGCCTTCGCTACCCCTTGTCCCCGCGCCCTGCGCGGGCATCCCCCGCCCCTGCCTCCCCCTGGCTGCACGCGTGTTCTCCTCCTGGTTCCCGCTCCATCTTTTAATCCCGACCCGCCCGCTCAATAGCAGCTTCACGTCTCAACGGCCCAGAAAGACTTTGGAAAGTTCTTTTAGGTAGCTGCGGGGCTTTCCTAGGGTGGTAGGGGGTGAACACGCTGGCTCCTTGTCCGGTCACCATCTCTAGTACGGAAAGAGCTTTAACGTGAAGGTCTGTGCCTCGCACGCGTGCGGGGGCGCCTTGCAGCCAGGGATTGCCTCGGCCAGCCAGGAACGACCCGGGGGAAGGGTGCGCACCCCTCCTTCGGTGCAAATTCAGAGAGGTGCCGATGAGGAGTCGCCGGATCGGAGCGCATTTGGCAATGTCACAGCATCTCTCAGAGGGAGGGGGAATGAGGAAGAAGAAGGTGTTTCCCGCGTTATCAGACGAGGCAAACGGTGTCCCCGGCGGGCTGTATCGGAATGGTGTTATCCCGCACGGCATACGCCAGGCAGAGCAGCGAACAACCTGTTCTGCTCGTTCTGCCCCTGCCTCGTCGCACCGCTCCCCTCCCGGAGACCAAACCCCGTCCATCCACTTTATTTTTGCGGTGAAATTTCCTTTTTTCCTACCGCTTCTGACTTCTGAAGTAGTATTGCAGAGTCAGCCAAAATTAGCATACCAGACTGTTTTCTCTGGGCTTGTTTGTTTGTTGTTTTTTTGGGTTATTTGTTCGGCTTTTTTACCTGTCTGGTGTTCATTTATCTGTCTACCTGTCCTTCCTAATGAGTTTGCACAGCCATTCTTCACATACAAGATCTCACAAAATTAGTCATCAGTAGAAAAAAAAACCCAAAACAACAAAAAAATAACCCCCCAACTTGCTAAATATATAGAATATTTTAGATGCATTTTCTGGCAATGTGCAGTTCCTAGGAGTCTGAAGGCGTTTTCCCGGTGCTCCCACGATAAGGTTTTTATAAACCATTTTTTGTTCCTCTTTTTTTGGGGGAGAACTATAGACTTTGGCTGTTTGGGAGGAAAGGCTTGGGATTTGGGGCGTGGGGGCGATGGTGGTTGTTTTAGCCGGCAAACTGAGCGTGACGGGCGTGCCCCGAGGTGGGCACGGCGGAGCAGCCGGCTCGGGCACACCCGCTCGCCGGACGGCATCGCCACCGAGCCGCAGGTTCTTCCCTTCTCCCCTGCCCGCCGCCCGTGCCTGGTGAGCCAAACCCTGCTCCCCGTCACTGGAGCCAGGACAAGGCGCCAGAGGACGAGGCAAAGCCAAGTCCCTGTTAGATCGGCGGGATCGGCAGGGTGCGGCCGCCGCTTCCCAACATCTTTGCACATCTGCCGGAGTGCTCAACTCCTCCACTCTTTTTTTTTTTTGTTTTGTTTTGTTTCAAAAAAAACATTGAAATATATGAAAAATTAAGGTTATTTCCGTGAAAGAGGAGCATGCCCACCCCAGCCTCCTGAGTACCATGTGGGCCAAGTGGCACAGCCCTCCAGAAGGACAGACAGACATGAGCTGGCAGATGTTGCTGTTGCTGAGCATCCTCTTTCCTCCTTTGTCCCTCTCTGTAGTGCAGTTATAGTTCTATACCCTATTAAACTCGAGGCCAGCTCTGATTTCAGTAGTGCTATCTGAAAAAACATGCATTTCCATTGTGAGCTAATGACTTTTGCTATTTCTTCCTACCTTTTTTCCCCTCCCTCCTTCCCTTCATTTCACACTCCTCCCCCTCCTCCTTCTGCCACCTTTGCTTTATTGACAGCTCAGTGTGGACATTTGCACTTCATCTAACAGGCTTTGGAGATCATTTTTGCATAACTAAATTGCTTTATTAACTCTGATGCCTTTTAAATGCCTCTGTAACTTGACTCCATTCGCCTGCCATGCACTTTTAATTGTGCTGCAAATGCCATTTTGACTATGCTTTATGTTGGTCATTGAGCTCATGTCAGATTTTTGCTGGTGCTTCTCTAAGGTGGAGTCTGATTTCTCTGATTTCTCTCTTCTCTCTCTCCTTTTCTTTGTTCTATTTTATTTGTTTGTATTCCAGGTATTAGTTAATATTGGCAACCATTTTGATCTTACGTCCAGTATATTTGTAGCACCAAGAAAAGGGATATATAGTTTCAGTTTCCACGTGGTCAAGGTCTATAACAGACAAACCATCCAGGTGGGTTCTAATCAAAAGAAGATGCTGTCCTTCCTATAATTTTCTTTTTTTAAATTCTTTTTTTCCCTTCAAATGCTTATTTCTAGACTCATATTTTTAAAAACCCCAGAAATTGAAGAATGAGATTGTGGGTTATTTTTAAAGGGGTCTGTATATATGACAGAAATCACACATTGCCTATTTCCTTAGCTTAATTCAACTTAGATTCTGACCTGTACAAAAGTTTAGTGATGTGCACAGGGCAAAAAAATAATTGAGAGTATTGAGAAAACTCAGATTCTGTCTCTTTGCACTTTTTAGGTAAGTTTAATGCAAAACGGCTACCCAGTGATTTCAGCTTTTGCAGGGGATCAGGACGTCACCAGAGAAGCAGCCAGCAATGGGGTCTTGCTCCTCATGGAAAGAGAAGACAAAGTGCATCTCAAACTGGAAAGGGGTAACCTCATGGGAGGGTGGAAATATTCAACCTTTTCCGGCTTCTTAGTCTTTCCACTATAAAAGAAGGCCAAATAGGAGACAGATCCGTGAGCCGGAGCAAGGATTCAATTGTTAATGACACCCTGAACTTGGCAGCACATGACAATATTTTCAGTCACCCTGTCAGACTGTCACAGTAGAAGAATGATAACCTTCTAAACTCCAACATTTGCTTTGAATATTGACAATTCCTTGGAACCTGCGCCTCTAATTAGTTTTAGACGACAGTGATCTTTAGGAGAAATGAAATTATCGACCTGAGCAATTTGTACCTGTGATTGTAAAGTCAATTTTGGATTTTATTGTTGGGATCATTGACTTTCTTATTCTTTTTATTTTTTCCTCTCTTTCATTTTTCCTCTTTTTCTTTCTCTTGTTGTTGTCCCAATGAAACAAATAACTCGGACCACAGAATCACTTTGTCAAAGGCTCACTCCAGAGCCAGAAGAACGGAGTGTTCAGCCCAATGAGGTGTTCTTCCATGCTTTATTTCTTTGTGTTGTATAGCCTTAAAGAAAAAAAAAAGAAAAAAAAAAAGAAAAGAAAAAAAAAGGAAAAAAAAAAGAATGGCTTCAGTCTCAGTCCTGTATTTTTCTGGGGGAGGGGGATTCTGGACATTACTGTGTCAAGAAGTGCTTTATCCAGTGAAGCAAAATTTGCACGATTGGAACCTTATTTGTGTTGTTCGTGTTTTTCATCAACTTTTTATTTTTCCTGATTTTTGTTTGTGTGTGCTAAAAATGTAAGCTAGATTGATCAATAAGACAAAACAAAGCACATATATACCCTGTAGCTCTAAGTAAAGCTAACCAGTGAACAATTTCTGTCTGCACTTTCCAGCTGATCTTTATAGACCTATTTAAGAGAGAGAAAGAGAGAGAAAGAGTGAGAGAGCTACATGATCCTTCAATTACAATCTGGAAACCAGTAAAGGAACTGACATTTCTGAATTGTCCTGACATTTCTAGAAGCAACAGTGGAGGCTTTGAATATCTTCTCTGACCATACCCTAAAATATATACTTTCTTTACACTTACATATTTTGGGTGTTTTTATCTAACATTTATTTGATATATTTGTCCACTAATGCTTGAGTACACATTGAGGGAGCACAGAGAGATGTCAGAGCAAATTTTTCCTCTTCCAAATGAAATAAAACCATCTCTACTTGAGCTGTCCGTGGCAAGTATTGGAGGAGTAGACACAAGCATCTTTGACAGCCTTAGGGAGAGGAGCCTCAGAGGGAGAGGGGTCTCAGAGGATCAACAAATGCTCCAGAAGTTGGCTCAGGTGCCATGTGTATATTTGCTGTGTCTGCTCTTCCCAACAAAAGTGGCCTCAAAGTTCTAGGGATGGATTGACATCAGTATTGAACACTGAGAAAATTATTATCCCAATCAGCAAGAGGTAAAATGTCAGTCCAATGTCAACTGTATCCTTTTGCCTCATTCTCAATAAACAGGTCCTGTTTCTTCAGTTTTTTAAGTTTATTTTTTTAGTTTGGTGGGTTTTGTGTGGGTTTTTGAAAGTGGTGTACAAAACATTATGCTGAGGAAAATATTGTTTGAGGAGATCCAGAAGGAATGTTTATTTTACAGAAGTCTTATCAACATTTGTTTAATTTTAAATGTGTCATTTTACTATGAATCCCCTAAGGGTGGATGTGCATAAGAATTTATTTTTGTCAAATTTACTCCTCTGCCACAAGCAAATATAATGGAAAGGCATTTTCAGGAAAGCAGTGGTAACTACATTGTATTTCAAAATTATGGTGGACATGTCATTTTCATTGTAAATTTATCATTCAAGGGACAAAATTAAAGTAATATATTCTTAAAAAACCCTTATCTGTGTTGCTTATATACCTCAGATGACTAAAATATAAGCCAATTTAATATTTAAGATTTTTGTGCATTTTCACCATTGATGTGGTTTGTTTGCTTTGCTGTTTCACTTTGCCAGTTACTTAATGAATTGGTTTCAGGTTGTTGGTTTTTTTAATGGGTTGCATTTTCTAGTTCCTATTTGTGCTTTGGCATGACTGCAATGCTTCTAGTTGCAAAATATCACAGGGCTAAGTTTAAGTACATTAAATAAAACCTGAGTCAGCAACAACCTTTTTCTATTAAAATACAATAAATACAGTTGTCTTAATGGTAGACATTGTAAAACTACTTCTTGTGTTTATAACTCGATCGTGTCATGCAAGGAAACAGAAACTGAGGTGGGTTCAAGCTGCCAAGTTTTTAGTTTCTGCTATATTTTTAATTTAAAATAAAAATACTCAGTCAAAATAATTTAAAGTAAGAATTACTCAGTTTTGCTTTAAAATTCTGCCTACCATAATCACCATTTACATCAGTTCATTTGGCTTGAAAAAGGCAATGACATCTTAGTTCTGGATCTCTCCTAACATAAATGAAGCCAATGGCAATGTTTTCCTTGGAACTATCCTTGGAAATTTCTAAAGGCCATTGTAGTTGCATAATCTGAATATTTCACTTCATGTATTCAAGCTCAGTAATCTTGACCATGTTTTTTTTTATAGATATGTTTATATGATAACCAATCTTCTGAATTTAAAGAAGTTATCTCATAGAATTCCACTTTCCCTTTGCTACTCTGGTGTCCTTCATGCTGAGCTATAGAGTTAGGATTCTTATATAAACAGTTTAAATAAATGGAGAATGTGGAGTAAATTCTTATTGTACACTAATTGCACTCATGATTTTTGTCTTTTATGTTCTTTGCAATATCTTTTCCCTTTTAATTTTGCATCTGGGTTTGAGAATGTAAAATCTACTTGCTATTGGAAACGGTAGAAATTTTGTTGTATACATAAGGTTGGATATCATGATATATTTTATGTTGGAGGGGGGAAATGCACAACCATAGCACTGCAGATTGCAGGAAATATGAAGTGAGAATGATTAAAAGAGTCTCCCAGTACATTAACAGTAAGCTTATAGAAAATAATTTATATAAATAAATTGTTTGGGTAACCTTCAGAGTTGGTTTAAATTTAATGTTGAGGGGCACCACAAGAGTTAGAAGTGCAAAACACGTGGTAGTGAAGTAGACCAGTGGCACCATAATGACTGGTTCCTGTGGGAGCAGTAGCACAAGACCCCTTCCAACAGCTTTCAAGGTTTCTCATAAGCTGCTGTGTAACAGTTGTAACATATTCCTATGAAACTACTGTCTGTTTGACTGCTTCCCTTCCAGGGAACAATCTGTACTTGGGTGTTGTTGGTGTTCACTGTTTTAGTACTTCTTCAGCCTACTTACGGCAGGGTAGAAGCCAGGAGCTGTATTAGGAATGATAAATTCTCATCATATATATCGCTGCCTTCCTCTTGAGTTTTATACCCATGGTTTGAACACAGTCTTGCCAGAGAGCCTGTGTGCTCTCACCTCCCCCTGAGACAGTGGGTGTGATGGATGTGTGGTGTATCTCATTATTGGTCAGCATCTTGCAAGCTGGATCTGTGGGAGGAGGAGAGAGACAGGACATGAAACTAAGGAGTTGTTTAGAAGTTACATTGTGTTTGTCAGCTGTGACTTTTTTAACTTTTAAAGAGAACATTTTGTTTTTATTGACCAAATTTGTTTCTTGGACAATCTGTCAAGGTAGAAGATAGGCTAAAAGGGCTTGTTTACTGGTGCATTTATTCAGAAATAGCTGAAAGTGGTTTCACATCCTTCTAATGTGACATTGGTTTCTGGAATAGGCAGAGTCACAGGTAGCATTGTTTAAAAATAGCTTATATGATTAATAGTCTGCTTCGATCCAGGATAACTTTCTAGTGTTAATAAACACTCAAAAAATATTGTCATTAATATACTTCATTTTCATGTGTAATGACTTATCATTAGGCTGTTATATATAACTAAAGAAATAAAATCAATTCCCCTCTTTTAATATATTGTTGAAAGGCCAAGGAATGTTTTTGAGTCATTGCATAGTTTCTGGATTTGGAGTCACTTACTGTCTTGAACAATTGTTCCAGGATCATTTATCATGAGGAGTCATGCCCAATTTTTAATCACAGTAGTAAACTATGATATGTTGTAAAATAGGTATTTTCTTAGTAGAGTGGCTTCTTTTATTTGACATGATTTCACCTGTCAGAATGCTTAAAATAGAACTTTGTGATTCCTGGCCACCTGTTAATTAAGTCACATTTGAAGTTTTTAAATTCCTGAGAGTTTTTCATATCCATCGTGAGTGTAGTTTGACACAGACTAGGTGGCTGAGCAGCAGATGATAGACAAGCATTTAGATCAGCTGTTTATATAATCAAGTATCAGTAAAATTCAAGTGTTCCATAGAGAAATAAACATGTCATCATTTCAGCTAAGAGGCTGATCTTGCTTGTCTCACTCACTTCATTAAAGTCCATCCCTCTTCTGAATGGACTTTACTTGAGTTCCTCTTAACATTAAATTTACACCAATTCTAACTGTTACCTAATCAATTTATTTATATTTATTACTTTATATAAGCCTATTCTTAATGTGCTGGGAAGGTCTTTTAATTGTTCTCACCTCATAATCCCTGTTGCAATCTATGGAGTTTCTGTTCCCCCTCTAAACAAAATATATCAGGATATCTGCACCTTAAAAGTATGTCTACACAATATCTACTGTTCTCAATAGCAAGTGAGTGGAGCTTATGAAAAACATCAGTACTATTGAGCTTGAATTGTACAGTTTGGATTTGGTCGTGATTCTACCATTATGTTCATTTAAAAACCAGTGACAGTAATCAGTGCAAACCCTTAGTTAACACAATTATTCTTGGGTGTTGAGGTATTTCAACACTAGTCATGTTTCTGATAATATAAGCAAAGGTCTACAAACATGTTTTGAATGCGTGTTTTAAATCAATCCCCAAACTAGTCACGTTTATGGTCTTATCTAAAATAATAATCTACTTTTCTTATTTCCTACTGCCAATAAAATGTAAAGACCACTAATTGTACTTAATGCTATCTGGGTGTCATAATGAAAATACATTTCACATACCATGTTTATCTAAAATCTCCGGTTTCTTAGCTCATTTAGCTTAACCTATTTAGTGAATCATCTCTGCTATTCATCAGCAAAATAAAGTTGCCTAACTTGCCGGTTCCCTGCAGATCACATATAACAGATGGTATAAATAATGACATAGCAAAACATGGAGAAGCAAATAATGACTATAAATTCTGCACCAAAAAAAAAAATGCATAAACAGAAATTCAGGTCTTATTGACAAATGCTCCAAAACTCATAAAATATCAAAGTGAAGATTTTACACTAATCTTTCTGACTGATAGCACTTCCCTTGTAATAATGAAATGTCATTTTTGCTATGGGAATAAAAAAGAATTTAAATTGTTTTGTGAGATCTGCTGCATTAAAACACCTTTGCTCAGCATATTAAGATATTCAGTGCTATAAATTCAATCAAAACCTAATTTCATCAATTAGTTATTAGTAGTTATCATGAGACATTGTCATTTCTGCTGATATAGTTAAATTAATTAAAACTGACTCTTTGAAATGCTTTTAGTTTTCAGTGTGTGAATGTACAAAAAAGTGCACACACACATATGTATTCATACATATATGCATATGTATACGTATGCATGTAAAATACATTTTTAGCTAGGAATGGATTGAGAACTGTTTTTTTCTCATATGCAGTTTGACCTTCCTTTCTCTGAAGCATTGCCTCAACAAATTGATTTTTATTTTATTTGTTGTCATTCTATACCTAAAGCTGTTTATCTTTGCTTACATATAAAGACTGCCCAGAGTAATAGCAAATAACAGTATATATTTCAGTGTCTGAGGGCTACCACAGTTTAGGTAATATTAGGGCAAAGTGCAACATACAGTTATTAATAAAATACTTAAGTACCTCAAGTTCTGTAGAAAGCTTTTGTGATGAGTCAAACTTTAGTTTTACTAAAGCGGGGATTGCTGTGTGGGAATTGCTTCAAAAAGACATACAGGGAGACCACAGCTGGAGGTTCACTTCTGTCCTTCTCTTGACACCAGATGGGAAACTTTCGGTACTCTTTACAACTGAAAGCAAACATGTCCCTATATTTAGTTTAGCAACAGTAATCCTTATATGCTGACTTAATTTTGATTGTGTTAATTTACATCTAGAGAGATGCATTATATTGTCACTTATCAGAACAAAGAGTACAGAGACTACAGTGGACAAAGGAAAAAGAGTTCTCCAACTTTTTTCACTAGCAGAAATAACTTAGCAAAGAACATATGTTGCTCCTAAAGACTTTTGTGACCGTGAAAATATACAAGGAAT